CAGCGTAACAGTAGGGACAATCATCGTAACAGTAGGGACAATCAGCGTAATAGTAGGGACAATCAGCGTAATAGTAGGGACAATCAGCGTAACAGTAGGGACAATCAGCGTAACAGTAGGGACAATCAGCGTAACAGTAGGGACAATCAGCGTAACAGTAGGGACAATCAGCGTAACAGTAGGGATAATCAGCGTAACAGTAAGGACAATCATCGTATCAGTAGGGACAATCAGCGTAACAGTAGGGACAATCAGCGTAACAGTAAGGACAATCAGCGTAACAGTAGGGACAATCAGCGTAACAGTAAGGACAATCGTCGTAACAGTAGGGACAATCAGCGTAACAGTAAGGACAATCAGCGTAACAGTAAGGACAATCGTCGTAACAGTAAGGACAATCAGCGTAACAGTAGGGACAATCAGCGTAACAGTAAGGACAATCGACGTAACAGTAGGGACAATCAGCGTAACAGTAGGGACAATCAGCGTAACAGTAGGGACAATCATCGTAACAGTAGGGACAATCGTCGTAACAGTAGGGACAATCGTCGTAACAGTAGGGACAATCAGCGTATCAGTAGGGACAATCAGCGTAACAGTAGGGACAATCAGCGTAACAGTAGGGACAATCAGCGTAACAGTAGGGACAATCAGCGTAACAGTAGGGACAATCAGCGTAAGAGTAGGGACAATCAGCGTAACAGTAAGGACAATCATCGTAACAGTAGGGACAATCAGCGTAAGAGTAGGGACAATCAGCGTAACAGTAGGGACAATCAGCGTAACAGTAGGGACAATCATCGTAACAGTAGGGAGCTCAACCTTGTGTTAAACAAAGTCACTTTAAGTGTTTCAAAATCCTTGTGTAATTTTAGTATAGAATAATTTTCTCGAGTTGCAAGTACAGCTTAACATATGTAAGAATGAAACATTTAAATGAAAAAAAAAAATGTTCAAATTAAATTTATTTTAAGAATGTACTATGTGACAAGGATTGTTCCAAGGGTTTGAAAATAACTCCTTTACACACGGCCGTCATAAAACTGGGATATTGCTGCGTTAAACTACAACAAACGAACAAAACGCCTTGTGAAAACACCTTCCATTCTTCCTTGTCAAATGGGAGCACGGATATCCAAGTCGTCTAAATATCCATTCGCTCTGCAGAGTTGCTATGATTGTGGGTTCGAATCCCGGTTTACCCCGATTACGTTTCTAGGTTTGTCAGAACCATACCCGTGCTCATTGGTTACACCGAAGTGGTAAACGTCAAAGACCTGCATCACTTCGGGCTTTCCTCCCACATTAATCTGACACGCCATGATATAACTGGAATAATGTTAAAAGCGGCGTTAAACCAAAATCACTCACTCAATATTATTGTTGTCAGATATTCCGAACTTCCGTGTTGAAAATGAATACACGTGACGTTGGCTTCAGTTTGATAATGTCTAAAACACATCGACACCTGATGACAAGATGGAATGACGACGCTGTATGTTCGCCCAGAGGCCGCAAGTACTGCGTCACATGACGCGAAGAAGCAGAAGAGGAAAGTGAAAGGGTTGTCAAAAGAATTCCGACGTAGACCGGCATCAACACAAGTCAGGATCGAGTTTGTGCATTTCCACATGAGTATGTAGACAAACAAAACCATGCGTTCAGTCGGACAATAGATACAGCTGTCCTGATTGTTCGTAGACAGCAATTGTGAAGTATTGTTACAGCTGTCTGTAACGTGATCTGATTGTTCGTAGACAGCAAAGGAGTGAGTGAGTCGGGTTTTAAGCCGCTTTTAGCAATATTCCAGCAATATCACGGCGGGGGACACCAGAAATGGGCTTCACACATTGTAACCCATGTCGGGAATCGAACCCGGGTCTTCGGCGTCACGATCGAACGCTTTAACCACTGAGCTACCCGACCGCCCCCGTAGACAGCGACAGTAAAGTATTGTTACAGCTGTCTGTAACGTGTAGTGGTGGTTCCTAGACAGCAACAGTAAAGTATTGTTACAGCTGTCTGTAACGTGTAGTGGTGGTTCCTAGACAGCGACAGTGAAGTATTGTTACAGCTGTCTGTAACGTGTAGTGGTGGTTCGTAGACAGCAACAGTGAAGTATTGTTACAGCTGTCTGTAACGTGACCTGAAAGTTCGTAGACAGCGACAGTGAAGTATTGTTACAGCTGTCTGTAACGTGTACTTGTGGATCGTAGACAGCAACAGTGAAATATTGTTACAGCTGTCTGTAACGTGCACTGTTGGTTGGTAGACAGCGACAGTAAAGTATTGTTACAGCTGTCTGTAACGTGTACTTGTGGATCGTAGACAGCAACAGTGAAATATTGTTACAGCTGTCTGTAACGTGCACTGTTGGTTGGTAGACAGCGACAGTAAAGTATTGTTACAGCTGTCTGTAACGTGAACTGCTGGTTCTTAGCGACAGTAAAGTATTGTTACAGCTGTCTGTAACATGAACTGGTGGTTCAGACAGACAACAGACGCTACAGTGTTCGTCAATGGCCAATAGTTATATTCTCAGACGGTATGACCGTGAATCAGGTCTACGATGTAACACAAATACACGCATTAGAAACACAGATGTACACATGTATAAACTTCATACTTGTGAGATAAGATACAGTAGGTGGTTGTAGGCGCACGAGCTGCCTGTGGTGGTCAGTATTTACATACTTGTAGGTAAACACGTACTAGCTATAAACAAGAATATACATACATATATATATATATAGATATATAGATATATAGATATACACACACACACATATGAACAGTATTTCTGTTTCTGTACATGGCCAAATACACACAGTAGACAGACAATATACATAGTGTATTAATGACATATAAACGACAAATACCAGTTGGGGGAACGAGTGGCCCAGTCGCCTAGGGCGCCGGTATTCGCTCTGTAGAGTTGCGTCCCCTAGGCACGACAGGAACCTATGATAGTGGGTTCGCCCCGATTATGTTTCTAGGTTTGTCAGCACCATACCCGCGCTCGTGGGTTTCACCAAAGTGGTAAACGCCTGAGACCTGCATCACTTCGGGCTTTCCTCCCACATTAAGCTGAGGCCCCGTGATATAACTGGAATAGTGTTCAAAGCACCGTTGAACCCAACTCAGTCACTCGTATACCAGGTGCGCGGGCCTGGGTGTACACCACACCGGGGGGCGATACCGCACTAAGTGTCTACCAGCTCGTCTGCAGAGAAAATAATAATAATAATATTATTATAAACAGTACATGCAGACATATCAATTAGAACAAATACAGAAATGAGCATTAATACTTGCAGGTAAATTAATCATATTTACATGTATATGTGCAGCTGAGCATGACAAAGCAAGGCCATAAAATGCATCATTCATTCATGCTTACATCCCTCCTTTCAGCCATGCATGCTCACTTGGTCTTGCCGCTTATATCACCAATGAATTCGGGTAAATTACAATTATTAATTTTATTTTTTATGCTTATACATACTATAATGAATTTGGGATACTTATTTAGTTGTTTGAAGCAATTTAAATATCAATTACTTATTTTTGTGTCCAAACAAACTTAAACAAATACTGCCACTATATATATTACTACAATATTGCGAATACAATTATGGATAAAATACTCAATCCTGCGGAAGCCTACTGAAGCCTTTTAGGGTCATTTGTTTTTGTTTTTTTTGTTTACTTAAATTTTCAAGAGTTGAAAAAATAAGCTTTTAACTTGAAATTTCAACGCAGCATCATGAAATTTCAACACAGCATCATGAAATTTAACTTAGTATCTTGAAATTTCAAGAAAAGAAGAAAAAAAGAAGTGATCCTAAAAGGCTTCCGATGAAAATGCTTAGTGTCATGTTTAAGGTAGGCTGAGCAAGATAACAAAATAAGACAGGATAACTTTGATACATGCGATCAACACGCCGGAAAGAAATTTTGTAGCATACCTTAAAATTGTTGCAAGTATCTTTACTGTCATAAAGCGTATATACAGTAGTAAAGTTATCAATATTTCTTCATAATTAATCTTTTCAAAGTAATAGCTACATTGTTGTAATATTATTTTATAATACCGAGATCAGGGGAGACATGCAGACATTGATACAATCGAAACCCACAACGTTGTGAGTGCTTATTATTTGTTTAACCATGAACAATACTTCTCTATGAGAGTTACCTCCCGAATGATAGCATGTTTACTCCTGTAGCCTGACACGTCAAGTATTTGCGCTGTAAAGTGCTACTACCTCCCTACACAGAAATGGGTCAAGGTTTCACCGCAGCGAAATGTTGTGTGGGGAAATAAGTCGACTAGAGATAGACTGGTACCCTGCCCTTCGTCTCCTAGCGGCTGCAGGCGAAGAGCGCAAACGCTCTAGGGCAGGCAAACCAGTCTAGGACAGAGCGTACTCCCCTCTCATAATAATAACATATTAACAGGGTATGAAACTCCCAAAACGTTCAGCCAGACCACAGGACTGGCTACCTGAAATACTTGCCAGCCCTGACCAAAACCCGCCTGCCCACTATAATCATATGTTTCTCAGGATAAGCTAACGGGGTTTCTTTTTGGTTACATTTTATCATTCATCTTTAAATGTGAATTAATGCTTATCATCGGGAAATATTTAGAATACTTTCACATATGAAATATAACCCGACCGTCGGGCAGGGGAATTTGAAAATCTGGCAGCCCGAGTTGAAATCAACCCGTCTCGGACGGTCGGGCAGGCAGGTATTTCGAACACTGAATATAAACGTGTTTAATGTAGTGTTTCTAATAATTTACAGTTAGGAATGTTTAACAAAATATTTGTTTAAATATTTTTGAATATCGTATGTACACTTGTCATTATACATATGAGAGACAAAGAAACGTTTCATTAAAAGTTTGTTTACTCATCCCCTTTCAACCTTCTTAATATAATTCGCTTAAAATTTTCACTGTAACTCATTCTTTTGTTTTACAGGTTTCGGGATTCGTTTTGCAGTCTTGTTTTAGTATTCATTCTGTGAGCGGCAAAAATTGCAGAATATTTCTTGTCACAAGGCATACTTGTGTCTGCATGTCAAAATCTCACGTACTAAAAATACATTCCGCGTGGGGAATCCCTCTCCATCAGCGCCGTCTAGTGGGATTCTCTTCTTCCGGTCTCTTCCGCCATATTCAGGTGCGTGAAGATTGTTCATGATTTCGCATGTTGATATCCAGAAACATCCCGCAAATGAGCACATTTTTTCCTTTAGTTATACACTATTTTAAAGCCAAGCAAATACATCTATATAACTTTGTATATATTTTATGGATCAGTTGCTATTTTAAGTTAATATGTCAAATCTAGTCAGCGCTCCATGTTCATGGAAATATTTTTCGTGTGATGTTTACGTTGGTTAGTGTTAAGTTTAAACTTAGGTTTGGTTTAACCAGAAAATGTAAATGTTGTCAAATGTTTTATATATATAATACCTCCACTGTGATACCGCCAATTATATTTTGGTTGTACACAGATGTCTATAATCAGGGAGGTATACATTAGCCCAATACCTCATGCAGTGTTTACAGTATTTTAATTATTGGAAATACGATAGCGCTACTGCTTCGGGCTCTCTATCGGTATTGTATATTAAAATATATTATTGTTATATCATACCAAGTTTTATCAGGCTTTTAAGACTATGATTTGTAAGAGTTACAGTGACTGAATTTTCAGACTTGACCCTCATTAATCAATTAACGTTAATTCAGAATGTAGACCATGCAGCCCATTGTTCAAATAATACATTGTGTTATTACTTAACAATTCAAGTACTGTACGAAAATATGGTATTGGTCACAATTATGCCCCTATAAATAATATACATATCATATATAACCGTAGATCAGCTGTATTTTGAGGACCAAAGAAAAGATGCTGTAGAAAGGGGTCGACTTTTGTATGGATTACACATTCATCAAACTCTTTTTGTCTGTTGGTAAAAATCTACATCATATCGCTCCAGGTGAAAGAACAACGGTACATATCTATACACACAGTCCATAACACCTCGATCATGTACTGGCATGAAAGCAACACAATGATAATATTTTAAATTAGAACAGTACCAACATCCACAATTTGTATGTATACTGACAGCCATAAGAAACTTCACCACTTTAAAAATGACATTTCACAAGTTAAAAACACAAGTTCAAACTAAATCAATGCAAAACACATCTGCAGGGAATATTGCCACACAAACATCGGCAGGGAACATTGCCACACAAACATTGGCAGGGAACATTGCCACACAAACATTGGCAGGGAGCATTGCCACACAAACATCGGCAGGGAGCATTGCCACACAAACATCGGCAGGGAGCATTGCCACACAAACATTGGCAGGGAGCATTGCCACACAAACATCGGCAGGGAACATTGCCACACAAACATCGACAGGGAACATTGCCACACAAACATCGGCGGGGAACATTGCCACACAAACATCGGCGGGGAACATTGCCACACAAACATCGGCGGGGAACATTGCCACACAAACATCGGCAGGGAACATTGCCACACAAACATTGGCAGGGAGCATTGCCACAGAAACATCGGCAGGGAACATTGCCACACAAACATCGACAGGGAACATTGCCACACAAACATCGGCAGGGAACATTGCCACACAAACATCGGCAGGGAACATTGCCACACAAACATTGGCAGGGAACATTGCCACACAAAAAGCCTCAGATCCTTGTACACAAATGTGTCACCTAATTTAATTGCATCCAAACAATAACTCATGTGATGGTTCTCTTTTCAGGCTTCAGGCAGAACCACCCACACTTGATTAGGTGAGTGTAACTCTGGTACTTGTATCTCTGCTCGAGAAATAATGGCTAACCTGATCCAGTACAAATGAAAATGTTTATGGTTTAAATTATGACGTCAAGTTTCAGAACTCAGCGTTAGAAATTGGCACTAGTCCAATAGTCCTTGCCTGACTGCTCAATAGTTAAGGTATCATAAGGACTAGTTAAAATATGCCCTTTAAAATGGTTTTGCTATGTGTTCTCATTATAAGGACATGTGGACTAAAACTGTTAGTTTCTATCACTGAGAACTGGTGTGAAGAGGTGGGCTATAGATTTATATGTGCTGGACACTTAACCTGATATTGACTTGTATTGTCGTACACTTAACACATCAATTATAACTCTGCACACTGTTTTGCTTTCATTGGGACTGACGATGGATGTTAGATATGTACGTTGTTAATGTTTATGGTATAGACCATGCATGTTGTGGCCAGATAAACCCTTATCACTTTCATCTTTGAGGTCATTTTGAAACATTGTTGTCATGCATTGCCGGTTGTTCTGGCCGCACTTTTAACGGACAATCCTGAGAATTGGGGGGGAACGGGTGGCCAGTCATCTAAGGCACCGCAATACCCTGTGCACAGTTGCGTCCCTTGGGCACGCCAGAAACCTATGATTGTGGGTTCGATTCCCGGGTCGCCCCGATTATGTTTCTAGGTTTGTCAGCCCCATACCTGTGCTCGTGGGTTTCACCAAAGTGGTAAACTTCTGAGACCTGCATCACTTCGGCTTTCCTCTCACATTAAGCTGACACGTCGTGATATAACTGGAATATTGTTAAAAAGCGGCGTTAAACCCAACTCATTCACTCGCTCACTCACTCCTGAGAATTGTTGAACTTCATTCTCAAAAAGTTGTCTTGATTAACGTCAAGGTCTAGAAGTTATATACTCACCACCAAAAGGAACGCGAATACCATACATGTTGGTTAATATATGAAGACTAACACATATTTAAGAGATCATAGATTGGTTTGATGCACAAACGAACATACTGGTATGTTGTGTGAACTGATGCTCATGAACGTATCACATGTGATGTCATAGACCCATAACTCGAGATGCACCATTTGTCTCGTGCAGGATTAGCGTGTAAAGTTTGGAAATCACGTGCAGCATATCATGGTAAGAGTACAAATACTGTGGTAACACCTGACTGATAGTTTTGTCATACACATTAGAAACATCTCCTCTTGACCTACTTACTGCTCTATATGTTTCTATGGTCCGCATTTCTTTTGGCAGTGAGTATATATTTTGGCTGGAATGATGTGGATAGCTTGTGGTTATGCCAGTAGCAAACACGTCTGGTTGAAACTGAAGGATTCCTACAAACAAACATTGATTTTGGGAAAGCTTTAGCAATAGGTACTCAAACTGAACCAAAGCTAGAAAACTATCGTTGGCTGATGCATGTCATCGTATTCCAATTGCATGGATCGATGCCCATGATGTCAATCACTGGAAAGTCTGGTTTAGACTTGATTATTTACTGACAGCCGCCATATAGCTGGAATTTTGCCAAGCGTGACGTTAAACAACAAGATGAACTGTAGTGCTGGGTCGGTGCCAGCAACAGAGTTAGACATGGCCACGAGTCCCTACATCAGAGAGGACCGCCTCTAGTGGTAGAGCGTCCGCCTGGAGGTCGGAAGGTCTGGGGTTCGATCCCCGGCCGCGTCATACCAAAAGACGTTAAAAGATGGTACTTGTTGTTACCCTGTCTGGCGCTGGGCATTAAAGGGCTACAACAAGGACTGGTCAGCTGGTCGGCTCGGCTTCATGTTAAACTGCGGCATGGTATCTCGGTGAGCTAGCACTATAAATCAGCATCAGTCCGGACTACAAGCAGACACACACACGTGCATGCACGTCGCTATATAAGTGCAATAATCTTGGACGCGACGTTAAACCCGATTTCACCTCACCTCACCTCACCTCACCTCACCTCACCTCACCTCACCTCACCTCACCTCACCTCACCTCACCTCACCTTTATCCGAGACAAGTGAAAATCCAGAGGTACTAGTTGTTTTCTACCAACATGGAGATCTTATGCATTAACAACTAGTCTGGAGGTCATTTCGGATATGAACAATGGTGTTTGCCACTGCTAGGGGAGGGGCTTCGTGGATTGTGTGTCATACCCTGGCTGCAAGGGGTGTTGCTCATGATATCTATCACTAGTTTGAGTCTTCCTGATTGATTATTTACAGGCTGCTGTGTAAGTGGAACATAGCTTAGTTGCAATAATAAACAACAGACAAAGCACACTGGTATTTTCTGTAGGTGACAAATACACATTAGGGATGGGTATTGGAGGTTAAAAGTGTATCACAATACTTTGCAAGGCACAAGGTCATATTGCAAAACGTATCACGATATATTGTATAATTCAAAATTTTTAATCCAGAAGCAATCTTATACATTAAGGTATGAACTGAAGTTCATAAATGAAACCAAACAAGATGCTGGTACAACACAATATTGACTAATTTAAAAAAATATGCATCTTGGGGCCCCGGATGCTCACTCATCAGCGTTAGAAATTGGCACTATTCCTGTAGTCCTTACCAAACTGCCCAATAGTAATGGTATCCTAAGGACTAGTAAAAATTGGCCCATTTTAAGAGTTTTGCTATATGTTATCATTATAAGGACTAGTGGACAAGAACTGTTAGTTTCTAACCCTGCTCATGGGTAGTGAAGGCATTTGGCAAGTATATGACATTAAACACATGATAAAAATCCCAATTTGAAATCATTTGATATATCGAGCATGAAAAAGTGATAATGTGATACGTATCATGGAAAGAATGAACCTCAATTTACCGATATACCGGTAATACCTCACACCCTTAATACCGATCAATGGTTTGTGTTTTCATGATTGATTATTTACAGTCTGCCGTGTGACGGGAATATTTCTTTGTGCAGTGTTAACCAACAGACAAAGAACACAGTGGTGTTTTACGTAGGTAACAAATAAACCAGCCCAATGGAACTTGACTAGACATACAGGTAGCAGCCTGTCATCAGTGTGATTGTTTGAAGCAAAGCTGATCGGTCTCTGGTTAGAATAGACTAAGTGTCTTGTTTGTTTGTTTGTTTGTGTCTGTTGTTTAACAACTCACTCAGCGATGTTACAGCTATATGACGGTGGTCTGTAAATAATTGGGGCAGATGGGTAGCCAAGTGGTTAAAGTGTTCACTCGTCATGCCGAATCCCCGGGTTCGGTTTCCGACATGGGTACAATGTGTGAAGTCCATTTCTGGTGTCCCCCGCCATGATATAGCTGGAATATTGCTGAAACCAGCGTAAAACCATGCTCGCTCGCTCACTGTGAATAATCGAGTCTGGACCAGATAATCCAGTGATTGACATCATGAGTGTTTATCCACACAATTGGGATACGATGACATGCATCAACCAAGTCAGCGAGTCTGACCACCCGATCCTGTTAGTTGTCTCTTACCAACAACTAAGTGAATCTGGTGATAAACTTGGTGTCTTTGGTGATTGTCGATGTTGGACGCTGCTCATTATATCAATCACTGGTTGTATGTTTCCCATCACATCGCTAGGTGTTGAGACCGTCATCCCATGACTGGAATCTGAACACAACAAACATGCATCCAACTTTAAGTCAGAGTAGAACATAGAACACAAGGCATTTATAGACAAACAATGATGTTTAATCTCCTAGTGGGGATTCAAGGACAGAACATGTTCCCAGTTGACAAAGGTTAAAATTTGTGGCATCAAAGTTACAGACCCGGAAGATCCTCGGTAGAATAAGTCTTCAGCAACCCATGCTTGTCGTAAAAGGCGACTAAGAGGCAACTAACGGGATTGGGTGGGGAGGCTTGCTGACTTAGTTAATGCATTTCATCGATCCTCCCAATTGCATAGATCGATGCTCATGATGTCAATCACTGGATTGTCTGGTCCAGACTAGATTATTTACAGACTGCCGTCATATAGCTGGAATATTTCTGAGTGCGGCGTTAAACAAATATCCAGGTTACAACCCGGGTCGTCACAGTGTTAGAGCTTCACCGCACATGGGTTGTCAAATAGCCACTGTTTCCCCTTTTTTTTAAATTAGACGAAGAGGGTTGATACTGGCATCAAATCCCAAACAGCATGGGCCCAAAATATGAGGCATGGTTTTTGTCGACTCGTTCACAGGCTGACAGATATGGCTTATGCCGACACAACACTCCATATCACAGATGACTTTCCATAAAACAAGGATACAAATGTGACTATGAGGAATATACAGTGGCTCTCATTAACACGTTTCTTATATGATACATGAGGTTTCCACACCTGACAATACTCCCCTCCCATAAACAAGCTCAGTGGTTTGCTTGACATGACCAAGGATTTATTGAGGACTTTTCAGAGCAAATGTTGAGGGCATGCGGAAGCTGTATCATGTCTTAGCTGTGCAAACTCTCACAGATAACAGGGGCGGTCGGGTAGCCTAGTGGTTAAAGCGTTCGCTCGTCACGCCGAAGACCCAGGTTCGATTCCCGACATGGGTACAATGTGTGAAGCCCATTTCTGGTGTCCCCCGCCGTGATATTGCTGGAATATTGCTAAAATCAGCGTAAAACCATACTCACTCACTCACAGATAACAGAACAAATGAAGAGTGAGAAGCTTATATAATTGGTATAACATTATTCCATTTATTCATTTTTTAAATCAAATTTTGGACAATGCCTTTTCCCCCAATTTGCCTGACATGTGCACCTAGTTAATGATCGTGATTAACCCCAGTGAGAAGTGTAGCCAGAGGTTTGTGTTTCTGTAGTCTGTGCACCAAATGTCTGTGAAGAATAAGGAAGATATTGAAGCCTTGGCGAACATCCCAGCGCTGTGTGTAAGTGGAAGCTGAGACAGGCTGTGAATGGAGTAAACTCTCCAATAAGTGAGCGCTGATATGCACACTTGTCCATGTGATTTTTAAACAAACAAATCCTAAATAAACTTAATGAGCATTAGATATACCAAAATGAGGAACAAATGTGTATTCATGCAAACTTGTATCTAGCTTGTTATTGATACATTTATTAGGACCAAGACATACAATACATTCACCCATTAACTCTTCTAGTTTGTGAAACTAAATTTACAAGGGGTATTCATGCAAACCCATTTCTAATTTATTAGTAAACTTGTAGAAACAAGATATATATTAATGCAAAAACATTTCTACTTTGTGGCTTATTAAGAAATATTTTAAACATTATTTATTTCTTAAAATATATCTTATGTTCCATTGCTCTGGAATGAAATCGGTGTATAACAACAGTTACCTCCCTTCATCCCTATGCATCGGCCCTGCCTTCAGAAACTTGGTCACAGTCTTTTGTGTGACTTAAAAACAAATCTGGGAAATATGTGCAGGCTGCGGTGTAGGACCGCAATCGGACCTGTGTGGTTGTCTCGGAGAATTGTAATCTCGAGAATCGTAATACTATACTCAAAGATATCATATATTTTATCTGAATTAATAATTTGGATGCATTAGCGTAATGACATTATTATTTTTTTCTTAAATGCCTTTTTACTGGGGCCCGGGTAACCAAGTAGTGTGAGGCACCGCAGTTCGCTGCACAGACTTGCATCCCTTGGGCACACAAGAAACTTATGATTGTAGGTTCGAATCCTGGTGCGCCCCAATTGTTTCTAGGTATGCCCGTGCTCGTGGGTTTCACCAAAGTGGGAAAAGTGTCAGACCTGCATCACTTTGGCCTCCCTCCCACATTAAGCTGACACGTGATATGAATGGACTACTGTTAAAATGGGACTTTAAAACCAAACTCCTGTTTGAACTGTTGATAAATTTGTCTATTTGTTGAGGTCAGAATGTTATTTTGGATTGTCACTTGCTTAGTTCCAACAAAATGCACAAACATACATAGTGTTCGAAATTGGCACCAGTCCTGTTGTCCTTGCCAAACAGCCCAATAGTTTAAGGTAGCATAAGGACTAAAAGAATGTTATTTTTAAGGGTTTTGCTATTTGCTATCAATATAAGGACTAGAGGACTAAAACTGTTAGTTTCCATCGCTGATTCATAGTCCAATAGGGTCCACATTTCCATTTGCAATCAGTTCAACCTACAGGAAGACTCCTGTCCTATTTCAGCAAACATCACAGGTTGCCTCAGCAGTTTCACAGTTCCACAATCTTTTGTGCGGTTTCACAATATCCCGTTCATACTCGAGTTCGTTCCCTCTCTGCTGTGACGTTCTTGGACCCACCTTGCTGCGTGGGAGAATCCTGATCCGTTCATGTCTCACAGGGTGATGGGTCCGAGTTCGAGCCTAGACCCAGCAACGATGAGGTCTGCTGCCCTGGCAACAACTGGTTCAACTCACACAGGTGCTGCTTGTGGGGGATGGCATGACTTGTCATCTTGACTGTTGGGTCCTTCTTACCTACTTTCTTGCAGGACATAATGTTCATGTAGGCTTGTCTGAATTGGGAGTTCATGAGTCCGTAGATAAGCGGGTTGATGGCACTGCCAACGTACACGGTGATGGAGCAGAACATATGAAACTGCTTGGACAGTACAGTGTTCCAGTCGATGATGCTGGATATCGTGCAGGGGAAATAAGACAACGCGAACACGATGAATATTGCGATCATCATGCGAGTCAGATGCATCTCCTTACGGTGATTGTGAAGGTCAAGGACAGAGTTGAGGATGGTCGGTCGTACGATGCGGCGATGACTGGCCCTGGTCGTGCGGAAGATCCTGGCGTAGAAGTACATGATGAGCACGCTTGGAATCACTGCTCGGATGAGGAGGAGGAAGAGCTTGAAGGACTGGCTGTCATGGTCGAGTATCAAGTTGCACGTGACCAGCACGGGGACGTAGCCGAACTGGCCCCAGACTCCCACAATGGCTGGACTCAAGCCCAGCAGGGGGAGGAGCCAGGCAACCACCAGCATCAGGGCCATGTTTCTAGGAACGAAGATTGTCTTGTAGGCGGCCAGGTCAGTGACCATCTTGTAGCGGTTCCACGCTATCATCGTGATGGTGATGATTGTTGTACCTGTGCACAGATGAAGACTATCAGGACGAATTGATCAGCTGGAGAATGTATTAAGCCAGTGTTTGATGATATGGAAAAATTAACTTTGACAGGAATTTAAAAAACCAAAGGATGGTAAAACATAAAAATTTAATCATGTAGAACTACATTTTCTTTGCAAAAGTCAATGAGGTCATTCTGCCGTGCCAGTACAAGCAGGCATCTTTAGTTACTGATAGTTATTTTGAAGTGGACGCTGAGCTAGGAAGGGTTTCTACCCGTGAGAGTGGACGCTGATCTAGGAAGGGTTTCTCCATGTGAGAGTGGATGCTGATCTAGGAAGGGTTTCTACCTGTGAGAGTGGATGCTGATCTAGGAAGGGTTTCTCCATGTGAGAGTGGATGCTGATCTAGGAAGGGTTTCTACCCGTGAGAGTGGACGCTGATCTAGGAAGGGTTTCTACCTGTGAGAGTGGATGCTGATCTAGGAAGGGTTTCTACCTGTGAGAGTGGACGCTGATCTAGGAAGGGTTTCTACCTGTGAGTGGGGACGCTGATCTAGGAAGGGTTTCTACCTGTGAGAGTGGATGCTGATCTAGGAAGGGTTTCTACCTGTGAGAATGGATGCTGAGCTAGGAAGGGTTTCTACCTGTGAGAGTGGACGCTGAGCTAGGAAGGGTTTCTACCTGTGAGAGTGGACGCTGATCTAGGAAGGGTTTCTACCTGTGAGAATGGATGCTGAGCTAGGAAGGGTTTCTACCTGTGAGAGTGGAGGCTGAGCTAGGAAGGGTTTCTACCTGTGAGAGTGGACGCTGAGCTAGGAAGGGTTTCTACCTGTGAGAGTGGACGCTGATCTAGGAAGGGTTTCTACCTGTGAGAGTGGATGCTGAGCTAGGAAGGGTTTCTACCTGTGATAGTGGACGCTGAGCTGGGAAGGGTTTCTACCTGTGAGAGTGGACGCTGAGCTAGGAAGGGTTTCTACCTGTGAGAGTGGACGCTGATCTAGGAAGGGTTTCTACCTGTGAGAGTGGATGCTGAGCTAGGAAGGGTTTCTGCCTGTGAGTGGGGACGCTGATCTAGGAAGGGTTTCTACCTGTGAGAGTGGACGCTGAGCTAGGAAGGGTTTCTACCTGTGAGTGGACGCTGAGCTAGGAAGGGTTTCTACCTGTGAGAGTGTATCCCAAGATGCCCACAAACTTGCAGAGGTTGGCGTCGATGTACCAGCCATCTGCGATGTAGGTGTAGATGTTGAAGGGCAGGACAAGGAAGACAAACATGAGGTCACACACGCTGAGGTTCACCACGAACATGTTGGACACGGTCTGCAGCCTCCTTGTGGTCTTCACAGCCAGGACGGCCATGATGTTACCTGCAACAGACGACGAAGCAGTCAGCCTCGTGAATCTTCAGAATACACACTACAGTAGCTGGGGAAATAGGGGGAATTCTCCCACGATTTGGGAAATTACTCAGTTTGGTCAGAGGTGTCAAACAACAATAACCACCTGTGATGATTTGACACCTGCATCACAGTTGAAGCCAACACTTAGTAAGTACTTCTTACTTAGTCATGTCAGTTGGCAGTTTTGAACAATTATTTGTACAATTATGGGCTACAAAGTTCAGAGTATTCAAAGCTTGTGTGGCAATCCATTTTGGGTACAAAATGTACATTAACACTGTTCCAGATAACTTTTTGAACAATTGAGTTTTTTCTTTGGGTTTCTATTTTAATTGGGTTATTACATTTTTCATTGTGTAACCAATATTTTCACTCCTCTGTTGTGTTTTTCCCCAAATTAGTGAACATTTTAAGATTTGAAAAAAAGGAAATAATGTTTTGAATGTATATAACTGTTCTAAATATATATAGGCTTGACTCGGAAAGTAAATTAGCTTGTATTTGTGTTGGCTCCTTTGTACGCATGCTGAAAAATTCTTCATTGGGTATTTACGCGAGCTGATTTCATACATTTGAGTTTTTCATTTAATGCATGTGTTTCTGTATGCAAGTTAATTGAAAGTAATTGGGTTTTGAATATTTTTGGGGGGTATTTTACGCAAATACGCTGCTTATCTGTAGCTCTGTATTAAGTTTTTGTGTGACTCCAGTATCTCGCCAATCATATAAATGAGTTAAGACCGCCCCGTTCTCTGGTGGATTGAGTGTCTGCCTGGAGAACAGAAAATCAGGGGTTAGATGGCATAAAAAAGGTGGTACTTGTTGTTTCCCAGCCTGGCACGCAGAATTACAGGGATAAAACAAGGACTTGGGAAATCAGTCAGTATACAGTATTTGTGTTAAGCTGTGGCATGGTATCTCAGAGGGCTGTACTATAATACTGAAATGGCAGTACACCCCCAAAATCACGTGTGCTTACCGGCGCACCCTGCGATGATGATGACCGCCATGAGAAAGACGGCTGCGTGCACCAAGAAGCCCGCCTCGTCTTGATCCACTGCCTGCTTCCACGTCAGGTCTTCCTCAGTCGTCAGTGGAAAGTTGACATGACGTCGGCTTCCGTTCGTGTGCACCATGTTTCCCTGTGGTGTCCTCACACAAGGATCTTTGTGAAACCTTTTCAGAAGAGTTAATTCTTTCAGCTCTGACCACGTGCCTGCTGTCACAGTTAACCACTGTCTCCCTCGTGAAGCAAACTTTGATTATCTCCCTTGCCTCAACACTGACAGTTTGCCACAGACTGATCAACTCCTCATTGATCCACGGGCCACACTCGTAACATTGCAGCAATTTGTCAGCAAGTCAGCAAGTCTGTACAAGGGTCTGAGATGTCGTTTCTTTGAGGAGTTTGGGCAGACAGATGATGACCAGCAATAAATCCGGAACAGCTATCTCAGAAGCACAGCATCATAATAACAACTACCATGTGGAATAACTTCCTGCCTTTCTGTCACACAAAACTTTCAGTTCTGAAAATGTTCCTTTTTTAAATCCTTCACATTGACTCCATTCCTGTAGTGGACCAACACTGGCTGGTACGTCATGTTGTCATTGAGAGCCCGGCGTGTACACTGTTGGTGCTGTCTTGTCTCTGCCCTCACACAGCTAGACTGGGGAGGCTCTGAGGAGCCCTACATCCCAGCAGGGGGCGGGGCTTCTTGGAGCTGATAGACAGCTACATGACGTCAGACTCCAGCCAAGGCTTGGAGATTACCCAAGCCGGTGTCTGATTGGCCATCTGTGTGTGTGAGGCTGAACATTTTGTCTTGACGTCTATCTGATATGTATATTGATTTATTTATGGTGGAAGATGAAATAATTGTCCCTCAGGTCTCAAAAACAGCAGTTGAACAAGTTGCTGTTAAACATGAACAAGCTTTCCTTTCAGCAATTTGTTTTTAATATATTTTGAAGGATCGGTGTGCAGCAATGCACACCATGTCTCTGAGGCACCATAAAACCTAGTTGCATAGTTCAGTGCAGCTCTTCACTTACTGATGAGGTAATGGCTTGTGCTGAGTACCGGCACTGATATACTTTTCATTTGGACATTTCTGTACGGACACCAGTAGCTTTGTCCCGCATCATCAGTGGAGCGACACTCCCTGATCATTTGAAAGCAGGCTTTTATTGTCCTACATTTATGACATCCTCTTTTTCAAAGAAAATAAACAGGAGAAAAGAAAAAAGAAAGAAAAAATCCCCCAGTCCCTAGTGCAACTACACTATGGGATGTGCGGAAATAGGAAACACATTTTGCTGTGATTTATTTGTTTTAAAATATTTTGTGTAAACCATTGATAGCTCCTGTGATGGCAGAGTTCACCGCCCTGGAAACACTTGTGTTGAGGGGGGATGCCACCAGTTGTCACTATTATTGACGGGAAGGTGTTGTGTTAGCTCACCTGTCAGCTCACCTGCTTCGTTTGTATTGCAGGTAACAAACCAGTCAACAGACCAAGATGGCCAAGTCCAAGAACCACACCAATCACAACCAGAGTAAGTAGACACAGTATAACTAAGGAATGCCTTGGGTTAGCAAATTGCCATAACTACCAGCTCACAGTGCTTGGTCTTGTACAAGATGTATGAATGGTTCAGAGGCTTGTATGTCCTTGGGAGTCCCCAGGCATGCCCTCTATCCACTAAACCAGGGAGGTGGTCCTAAGTCCTTGCAGGTGACTCCCCATTCAGACACTGTCCACTAGACCAGGGAGCTGGTCCTAAGTCCTTGCAGGTGACTCCCCATTCAGACACTGTCCACTAGACCAGGGAGTTGGTCCTAAGTCCTTGCAGGTGACTCCTAGTCACTCTCTGTCCACTAAACCAGGGAGGTGGTCCTAAGTCCTTGCAGGTAACTCCCCAGTCAGACACTGTCCACTAGACCAGGGAGTTGGTCCTAAGTCCTTGCAGGTAACTCCCCAGTCAGACACTGTCCACTAGACCAGGGAGTTGGTCCTAAATCCTTGCAGGTGACTCCCCAGTCAGACACTGTCCACTAGACCAGGGAGTTGGTCCTAAATCCTTGCAGGTGACTCCCCAGTCAGACACTGTCCACTAGACCAGGGAGTTTGTCCTAAATCCTTGCAGGTGACTCCCCATTCAGACACTGTCCACTAGACCAGGGAGTTGGTCCATAAGTCCTTGCAGGTGACTCCCCATTCAGACACTGTCCACTAGACCAGGGAGTTGGTCCTAAGTCCTTGGAGGCAACTCCCCAGTCACTCTGTCCACTAGACCAGGGAGGTGGTCCTAAGTCCTTGGAGGCAACTCCCCAGTCACTCTGTCCACTAGACCAGGGAGGTGGTCCTAAGTCCTAGGAGGTGACTCCCCAGTCACTCTCTGTCCACTAGACCAGGGAGGTGGTCCTAAGTCCTAGGAGGTGACTCCCCAGTCACTCTCTGTCCACTAGACCAGGGAGGTGGTCTTAAGTCCTAGGAGGTGACTCCCCAGTCAGACACTCAGACCAGGGAGGTGGTCCTAAGTCCTAGGAGGTGACTCCCCAGTCAGACACTCAGACCTGGGAGGTGGTCCTAAGTCCTAGGAGGTGACTCCCCAGACACTGTCCACTAGACCAGATGAGATATATGTATTTATATGTTTATGAGCAATAACATTGTATTGTGTGATCCTTAAAGTTCTATATATAATGATACAGAAAAACTTTGACTCGTAATCTTTATTCATTTATGATGAAAGTTTGTTCTTGGTGGTTGTTTCTGCTTTTTAGTGTGAACAACACAAACTGTTGCGAGAATTTGAAGGATAACAGTGAAGACATTGTACTGTTGTATGATAGTGGTCCTGTTAGTTTTAAGACCACCATTCAGTATGTAGGTACTTCGTGCGGCTCGGCAAACAGATATTGAGGTCGACATCAGAACCGCTCCTGATCCATTTGAACTATATAGCCTTTTCAGATAGGTGTGCACCCAGTGGAATATCATTGATTTTTCTTATTTCGTTTGAAGAAGAACATTAGGGGTAAAGTCTTCCTTCGAATGAAGACCTTGTGAAAGTGTAGATAACCTTGGGTTATGGCTGGCAATGTGATTTACAGACTGATAATAATGAGTAGCCAGCACTGTTGGCTGACTGCCAAATTGATCTACAATGCTGGTGTTACGGTCAGCAATTTATTGATCAGCTGTACCTGATGTATGTCCAGCGCCCAATTTCAAACCAATTTGTGTCCCTAATTCAGTATGTCTCCCTAATTCAATATGTCTTGGACCTACCCACCATCTTCACAGGTATTGATGTCTAAGACGTCCACAGGTATTCAGCCTGTGAAGATCCGGGGTAGAATAGGTCTTCAGCAACCCATTCTTGATGTAAAAGGTGACAATGTTTGTCATAAGAGGTGACTAACGGGATCGGGTGGTCAGGCTCCCTGACTTGGTTGATGCAAGTCATTGTATTCGGATTGAATGGATCGATCCTCATGATGTCATCACTGAATTGTCTGGTCCAGACTTGATTATCTACAGAGCGCCATATAGTTGGAATATTGCTGAGTGCGGCGTTAAACAACAAACAGGCAAACCACAGTATTGACGTCAGTCTGCAGCTTGGTACCTTGTAAGTCTGTGTTTTGTGCTTTGCAGACAGGAAACATCACAGGAATGGAATCCATCGCCCCAAGTCGTACAGATACCCATCCATGAAGGGGGTAGGTAGTCCTCACATCGGTGCCAATGTTTGTCATAAGCAGAGATGTCATCCATTATGCTTTTAGCGTAATTATCACACTTTCCAGCCTAAAATTACGCTGTTGCACTTATCCTCTCCAAATTATGATTTTTGACCTTTTTTTAACAAATTATTTACATGTATGAAGTTTCATGGCAAGCAAAATGATAATGCATGATCACTTGAAGCATTCTACAGGGAACTAATCGCACGTTCACCGACATTTCTTTGGAACTCGAAACACCACATTGTCTTTCTGCAATACACATAATATTCAGAACACACAATGCCATTTAGAAAGTGGTCAAATGTAACAACCGTTATGTTTGGGATAACACTTTCTGAGTCAAGTACAGATCTGGGATTCGAACCCACACTGCCAGAGTGAGGCACCTTATTGTCAGCACGCAAAGTCAGCGATTTAGCCCACTCAGCCACGATGCTTTCACAAAAATGAAAGTCCCACCACTGGTAGTCTAGATCACATACTTTGAGTACCCCTCTGACAAGTGTTAATTGGCACGGCTCCCATGGCCGAAAGCTATGAACACACAATGCCATTTAGAAAGTGGTTGAATGTAACAAACAGGGCTGTGTAATGACCAGGATTTTGTATTGCAATATATTGCCATACTTTAACATGTATTGTGATATGTGTTGCAATATATTGAAAAGTCACATTTTCATGAGTTAATCAGGGTTATACTCTCGGTACAGAGAGCTCATTATTATTATTATTATAGCTATCATTATGAAGAGCTAGATAGTCGCAATGTGTACACGCTAATTGATAAAAAGATCGTCAGAGGCATGTTGTATCAGAAGGATACTATTTTCCATCTCCATATCGATAATGACACATAAATATACTTGTTTATATTTGCCCCAATATATTGCTACTAGGGCTGTTACGATTCACTCGCATATTCGGTGAATCGAACCGTATCCATTCATGAATTGAATTCGTTATTCGTGGCCACTAGAATCAAATATTTATGAATATGCAAGCATATGCATTTACATAAAAAAAATACCCATAAGAACATATTTTATGCATAGATTTCTTCATAAGACAACACCCTTAATCTCTTAAACTATTTAATTTGACGGTATTGTGGTCACTGGTCATTGTTGCATTTGAGCAGATACTAGTACCTGGATAAATGCAGTATATAAATGTATAATATATTTAATAACATATTAAAAAATAACAAACCATGTCAAATAATTTATGTTGTTGCCTAACTGAACATGCTAAATATGACAAATGATACATCAACTGCTGACTTGTTATTGTTTTCGTGAATTATTATTCGTAATCGTTACCCTATGTTCATGATACAAATTGTATTTGCCTCATAGTGTATTCGTTGCAGCCCTAATCGCTACATTTACAAATGAATGGTAATACGTGCCACAATTGCACCACAATATACCGGTGTACCATTAATACCGCACACCCTTAGTAACCTTAGTAACCTGAGTAACCTGTGCAGGATCGGAGGTAATCAGTGGAAAACACTTGAACAGTTTCTCCTGGTAAATGAGGATGTATTAGATCAATGGTAAGGCTTGTGTTGAATTGTTTATGTCATTGGAATAAGGTCATCGATTTGCTCTCTTGTACGTGGTGCTCAGGCTGGCTCCCCTCCCCACACTAGGGTCAGTATTTCATTTTCACACGTTGAGTTATGTCCCTTATGTATGACAGGATCTGCTGATTATAATTTGGGTTGGTGTGGGTCAGTATAGACTGGACAAGATGTGGCCCTCAGATGAAAGGTTGATGAGGCTACTGGCAGGGTTATAATTTGGCACTAGTCCTATAGTCCTTGCCAAACCGCCCAATAGTAAAGGTATCCTAAGGACTAGTAGAATTTTGCCATTTTAAAGGTTTTGCTAATGCTATCATTATAAGGACTAGTGGACTGAAACTGTTAGTTTCTACCGCTGCTACTGGGGGGGTCAGATCCATCTTAGGTCTGGAGAGAGGCCCTAGCTGCCCACGGCCCAGCCAAGATGTCAATAAAAGTGTTGACTCTTTGCTTCCCAGACAGTGTACATCATGACTCCTGTTCACTGGATAGTCTCATTACTTTTGTAAGATATCTGTTTGTCACTTGGTGAAGACCAAGCCTGCATTGATCGGATGTAGCCAATCGAAACACTTACACAGCTTCTGGTAAATGAGAATGTTTAAGATCAAGGTTGGGGCTTGTGATTTATTTTTTAATTGAATTCAGGATATTGTGTTGTCCTTTGGGCTCTCTCTCTCTCTCTCTCTCTCTCTCTCTCTCTCTCTCTCTCACTCACTCACTCACTCACTCACTCACTCACTCACTCACTCACTCACACACACACACACACACACACACACACACACACACACACAGATGGCATAATGATGTACATATACTTGTGCCATGTATTTTATTTTAGATGAATAAGGCCATTTCTGCAGGGAAATATTGAAAAGAATGTAATGTCAGTGTTTTCATGTACACTCATTGAGTTATTTCCCTTTTGTCTACCGGTTTTGGATCGGTTGTTCGTGGATTGGAATCATGAGTTGTTGGTTTCTTCAAAGTGGTTAATAAAAACTACCCTCGACCCTTGAAGATGCGGAATAGATGCAGCAACCCAAGCTTGTCGTAAGAGGCAATTTGTGAGATTGGGTGGTCAGGCTCGCTGACTTGGTTGATGTATGTCATCATATCCCAATTGCATGGGTCGATGGTAGATGGGTCGATGTCAATCACTGGATTGTCTGGTCCAGACTTGATTATTTACAGACCGCTGTCTTATGGCTGGAATATTGCTGAGTGCAGCATTAAACACAAACACTGTCACTTTCATTGTACTGGCGGAGCAGGTTAAACCAACTCACTTCCATCCTCATGTACTAACTCAAGATGTCTCATTGCAGGTTGATCCCAAGTTCTTGAAGAACCTGAAGTTTGCCAGGAAACACAACAAAAAGGCTGTTAAATAGACATGGCTGCTGAAATATTGTATGTCGCTGTATCTTGTGTGGTTAACACTGTGACTGTTGACTGCACAGTCAATAAAACATCGCCACAGTGAATAGTCTTTCTTTTCTTTGTGGTGGTGGAGTAAGAGGCTGGTGGGGCTGCAGGTCGGTGGGGTTGGACAGTGGTGGGGTTGCAGGTCGGTAGGGTTGGACAGTGGTGGGGTTGCAGGTCGGTGAGGTTGGACAGTGGTGGGGGTTGCAGGTCGGTGGGGTTGGACAGTGGTGGGGTTGCAGGTCGGTGGGGTTGGACAGTGGTGGGGTTGCAGGTTGGTGGGGTTGGACAGTGGTGGGGTTGCAGGTCGGTGGGGTTGGACAGTGGTGGGGTTGCAGGTCGGTGAGGTTGGACAGTGGTGGGGGTTGCAGGTCGGTGGGGTTGGACAGTGGTGGGTTTGCAGGTCGGTGGGGTTGGACAGTGGTGGGGTTGCAGGTCGGTGAGGTTGGACAGTGGTGGGGTTGCAGGTCGGTGGGGTTGGACAGTGTTGGGGTTGCAGGTCGGTGGGGTTGGACAGTGGTGGGGGTTGCAGCCAGGTGGGGTTGCAGGTCGGTGGGGTTGGACAGTGGTGGGGTTGGACAGTGGTGGGGTTGCAGGTCAGTGAGGTTGGACAGTGGTGGGGTTGCAGGTCGATGGGGTTGGACAGTGGTGGGGTTGGACAGTGGTGGGGTTGCAGGTCGGTGGGGTTGGACAGTGGTGGGGTTGCAGGTCGATGGGGTTGGACAGTGGTGGGGTTGCAGGTCGGTGGGGTTGGACAGTGGTGGGGTTGCAGGTCAGTGAGGTTGGACAGTGGTGGGGTTGCAGGTCGGTGGGGTTGGACAGTGGTGGGGTTGCAGGTCGGTGGGGTTGGACAGTGGTGGGGTTGCAGGTCGGTGGGGTTGCAGGTCGATGGGGTTGGACAGTGGTGGGGTTGCAGGTCGATGGGGTTGGACAGTGGTGGGGTTGCAGGTCAGTGGGGTTGGACAGTGGTGGGGTTGCAGGTCGATGGGGTTGGACAGTGGTGGGGTTGGACAGTGGTGGGGTTGGACAGTAATGGGGTTGGACAGTGGTGGGGTTGCAGGTCAGTGGGGTTGGACAGTTGTGGGGTTGCAGGTTGATGGGGTTGGACACTGGTGGGGTTGCAGGTTGATGGGGTTGGACAGTGGTGGGGTTGCAGGTTGATGGGGTTGGACAGTGGTGGGGTTGCAGGTCGATGGGGTTGGACAGTGGTGGGATTGCAGGTCGATGGGGTTGGACAGTGGTGGGGGTTGCAGGTTGCTGGGGTTGGACAGTGGTGGGGTTGCAGGTCGATGGGGTTGGACAGTGGTGGGGTTGCAGGTCGATGGGGTTGGACTGGTGGGGGTTGCAGGTCGATGGGGTTGGACAGTGGTGGGGTTGCAGGTCGGTGGGGTTGGACAGTGGTGGGGGTTGCAGGTCGGTGGGGTTGGACAGTGGTGGGGTTGCAGGTCGGTGGGGTTGGACAGTGGTGGGGTTGCAGGTCGGTGGGGTTGGACAGTGGTGGGGTTGCAGGTCGATGGGGTTGGACTGGTGGGGGTTGCAGGTCGCTGGAGTTGGACAGTGGTGGGGTTGCAGGTCGATGGGGTTGGACAGTGGTGGGGTTGCAGGTCGATGGGGTTGGACAGTGGTGGGGTTGCAGGTCGGTGAGGTTGGAGAGTGGTGGGGTTGGACAGTGGTTGGGTTGCAGGGTTGGAGGCTGGTGGGGTTGGACAGTGGTGGGGTTGCAGGTCGATGGGGTTGGACAGTGGTGGGGTTGCAGGTCGGTGAGGTTGGACAGTGGTGGGGTTGCAGGTCGGTGGGGTTGGACAGTGGTGGGGTTGCAGGGTTGGAGGCTGGTGGGGTTGCAGGCAGGTGGGGTTGGACAGTGGTGGGGGTTGCAGGTCGGTGGGGTTGGACAATGGTAGGGTTGGAGGCTGTTGGGGTTGGAGGCTGTTGGGGAAGGTTGCATCTTACCGAAGCAAGAGAGTTAACTGACTATAAAAGTTCAGTTTTCACCCTTGCTGAACTAGGCTGGAATTCCGGAGTTACGTTTTGGCTGGACTAACGAGTTTAGGCATAGGATAGTCAACATCGTGTAACAAACTAGACATCAGGTTTGTTAACAACATGAAGTTCAACCTGCAGGATTTGCCAACTGAGCGTCGACAGATATTTTGCAAATCGTTTCATGTTTTAAGTCAAGGTGCTGAAGTGATTTAATGCATTTCCTGGGGTTTTATTACAACATAGATCTTTATTATTGATAACATCATATTGACTGGGCCCCACCATTGTGTTTGAAGCAAATACAAGTGATATGAGAGACGGAATCTGATTGGTCAGTAGGAGGGACAAAGAAGGGACACAACTTGTAATAGCTACTGGTGGCGCTAAGATGGAGCCTGGAAATTCGAGCCTAGTTCGGCAAGGGTGGGAACTGGACTTTCATTGTCCATTGCTTTGGGAAGCAGACCCACCTTGGATTCCCTGAAAGGACTCAATATGTAAGCTCCATTCCTGGCACTGCTGCTGAATGTGCTGGTGTTGGTGTACAAACCTGTCAACAAGGTAACTGACGTGCCCCCACCTTCATGGTTTGAGTGGTGCATTAACAGTAATAATAATAATAATAATTATAATTAAAGCTGCAAGCAGCAATGGCGAGCTCCAAGTAACACTGTGCACAAACGTCCATGTTCGAATCCTCAAAGGGTTGCCTTGTACCAAATCCGTCAAATGTAGGCACTACTTGCAGGGTATCGCCGCTATGAAATTGGCTTGTGCCGGGGTGTCCAAGTCTGTTCTTAACCCATTTCCGACCCCGAACATGTTCAAATCCTCAAATGGTTTGCTTGTACCAACTCAGTCAAAAGAAAGTCGCCGTTTGCAGGACATAGCTGCTACGAAATCCGCATCTTCCAGGGGTGTCCCAATTATTAGTCTAATATCCCCACCAAGTGGTGTTAATCTTGGCATGCAACCAAGAACAAACAATGAGATGCATATAGCACACTAAGTTCATGTAAACATGCCATAGTTTCTGTCAACAACCTTTCAAGTTTTGATCTTTGAAGTAAAATTTCGGTGAAGGAAGTGTCAAAATCAAAATAAACAAGATATCAAAAATCTGTTAAGACAAGTTATTCTGTTGTGTATGGAGACAATTCTCAGAACGGTTGTCACTCACTGACTGTTTAAGTATACCGGATGAGACTATGTTGCTTCAGAAAACTCAAACTTATAATCCAGTGTTCTTATAATTCAGGGGAGAAAACTATCCAAACGCCACACCACGTCTCTTCAACCACGTCACTTCTCACAAGACACACCACCTCCCCTGCCTCAGTTACTGCTTGACCGACTGAGCGTGCCGGATCGCGGTCTGTGTTGTGATCCCCGGCCGCGTCATACCAAAGGACGTTGAAAGGTGGTACTTGTTGTTACCCTGCTTTAAGGGGTTAAAGCGAGGACTGGCAGGCTTGGAGTCAGTATATTGTTTGAGTGCGGCACACATGCATACACATCGCTATATAAATGCAATGGGGTGCAAAACGCGACGTTATACCTCATTTAGACCCACCTGACGTCAGTTAACACAGGACGTTTTGCCGGGTCAATGAGGAACCGACATATTGCAACAGAGATGCAACTACACACAGCATGTCGTGTGTGGATTGTCGAACTATTGTCGAACTGATAGATACTGTTCTATCACCAGTGTCGTACAAGGTTGACCTTGTTTTATTCGTTTTGATCGGATAACCGTGACCTCTGTCACACCAGAACTACAAGTTTTATTCATAAAAATAAATCACGAGACTTCATTCACTTTTACAAGGCAGAACAGAAGCAATCGCACGAAAGAGAGACATTTACATACACTTTTTTAAATCAAACAAGATGGTCACACGCATCAAATTCGCTTTACATTGTATATTGGTCATGCACTGAGCTACGGCAGACATTATATACTGAGTCAAATTAAAAACTTCACATTTCTAAAAGTAATCCCATATATGATATACAACGGACAAATGTATCAGAGAAGGAAATTTTTAATCATTAATGTTCAAAGAAGGATTTTAATTAACGGTGGTAACCATAATTTGTTCCAAGCAACTACGGTATTCGGTAATAACATCAACAGTTTAAATCATAAGTCCCAAGCACGAGAATCTGATGGCACACAAGTTCAGTAGCGTGTATGGCCACCATGTACGTTGACAACTAGCTGCAACTGCCACACAACGCCTCCACGTGGACCTTGTGATGCTTGTGAACACATGACTGGGAAGACGACGCCATTGTTGGTGCAAAATGGTGCAAAGATCTTGCAAATTCTGTGGTTGGTTCTGGAGAGTTCGCAGACTTCTGCCAAGAGCATCCCAGACGTGTTCGACGGGATTGAGGTCGGGAGACATTGACGGCCAGTCCATGACGTTGACTCCCGCATTCTGAAGGAAATTCCTTGTCAAAATTGCTGTGTGGGGTCTGGCATTGTCGTGTTGGAAGATCAAATCGGGTCCATGTGCTGCCATAAAAGGCAGAAGTTCTGTTGCCAGTACCTGGTCGCGGTAAGCAGCAGCGTTGAGGTTGCCACAGATGACAAGAAGCCTGGAACGTGCATTGCCACAGAAAGCACCCCACACCATGACACTTCTGCCTCGAAATCTGTCAACTTCCTGTACACAACACTGGGCGTAACGTTCATGACGGCGCCTCCACACCCTCACCCTACCATCAGCAAATCGAAGATTAAATCGGGATTCATCACTGAAGACGACTTGATTCCAATTCCTCTGAGTCCATCGTAAGTGTCGCTGTGCCCAAAATTGTCGTTGACGTCTGTGTAATTGAGTCAGAATCGGCCCGCAGTATGGCCGTCGTGCTTGAAGGTGAGCAGTTCTCAGACGGTTTCGAACAGTTTGCGCACTCAGTCTAACCCTAAACAGTTCATTTCTGATTGATGTAGCCGTCAAAAATCGGTTACGGAGGTGACGTAAGACAATCTGACGATACTCTGCATGTGACGTCACACGTGGTCTACCTGGCCGAGGGCGATCAGCGGTGGTACCCGTTTGCTGTAGACGCGTCTGTAAATCATAAACAGTCCGTCGACTACAACCCATCGTCCTTGCGACTTCAGCTACGGACGTTCCCGTCTGTAACATGCCGATGGCACGTTCACGTTGCACATTTGAAAGGCGTGGCATGACAAATGGCCGTAAAGCCTTTTGTTTTCTTGTGTTTTTCTTTTTTTGTTAATGACTGCTAACAAGTATGGCTGAAAACACGTGCGGTATTATTGTCACGAGACCAGTTGCACGTGAAAAAACACTTTTGCCACTATAGTGCTGTGCACATGATTTTGATCGATTCACCTGCACAAAAACGGGTGTTATCTGAAGACAATACGTGGCCATTACTGTTTAAATACACAATAAGGGCCCACAATGATAACTGGTCAAAATGTTAAAATGTTAGGATTGTGAAGTTTTTAATCGAGGGGCCCTAGGAATGAGCGTGACGCATCCGACCACTTTCGCGACTTTCAATTTGATTTATTGTAAAAGGTTAGCGTGGTGAATTGAAGTCAGTTTAAATTATCTTGAAATATATCTAGACTTACGTTGGATGCTCCGGTTGTGTCCCCTTCGAAGCGTATTTTGTGACATTGCTTCCGAAGGTGTTTGTTCATGAATAACCTGGCTCAAAACACCCCAAATTTGAAGAATAACATTCCCTATGGATCTCCAGTGTAAAACGCTGGGAGTACATCCCGGTTGTCTTTTCTTATTCCGCTGGTGACCTTGCCCTTCGTTCGAAGCTGTCACTAACATGCAAGCAGAGTTTGTCTCCAGGGGCGTACAGGTAACATAACCGTTTTTGGCGAGCATTCTAGAAGATTTCCCTCTTCCAAAATGTTACGGAAAAGATGTAAATTCAGCTGATAGATCAAGAAAACCGAACCATTTTCATTAAACACCCAGGACCCCGCCGGTGCTGGTCCGAGATTCAATAGGCGGCACTAATTGACTTTTTAAGTTTTCTTATAGTTGTCCTGCGAATTAACAACAATGCGCTTGAATTACCATATGTTGAAGAAATTCTAAACAAATATTGAGCGTTGGAACTGTCGTGTTTGCACACACACCTGCAGGAACTTGTTTTTGACGCGTATGCATAGAAATGTCAACATTGCCCATATTTTGACATATATCAACATTCATGCGCAACCAGATTTGCAGCCACTTTCAGTTTGGTCTGTTAACAAATGAAAGTTGTGATGTATTTACACTTAAATGAGAATGAGTGGAGTATTCTCAAAGTCTGTTCCATAAACTTCACAAGGTGATGTCTTCGGTTTTACGGAATCTGGCACCGTCCAATTACCACCTCCTCCCAAACTTGAAGAAGGAAATGAGAGGCCAGCAGTATGCAAATGATGGTGACGTTATTTCTGCTGTTGGGGGACACCGGGTGGGCGCCTTCGACACCAGCGGGATCCAGACACTCCAGCATCATTGACAGAAGTGTGAGGACCTCGGAGGGAATTGCGTTGAGAAATAATGAGAAACTAGCTCCACCAAGGCAGTCCATCACAGTTAGGTTTAGATGACCAAAATAATAGTCTTAATTCCTATGTGGCCTCAAAGATCGCCAAGAATATAAGGAATTTATTGACCTAATATCTAGAAGAGACATAATTGGATTTTAAAAAACGAAAACCCAACAGATTGGATGAGTTAAAATATGCCCGGATATACTCAACAACAAAAGTTCCTGTGACACCAATATTTTTGTGTATTTTTCAAACAAGTGAAGTTTGTTTTTCAATATTGTAGTACATGTATGGAATCAAGTCACAAAAACGCAACTGCTACAGAAAAGCATGCATTCCATGCAAAAGTTGTCTTTTATGCAAGCCCCATGCATTTCTCTACCCATGAATGGGTATAAAAACATGTGCCTTAACGGGATTCCATATGCATGTCGTGCTGACAACAACCACTCAGACAAACAACAATTATTCAACATTACGAAATGCCACGCCTGTCCGAAAATGAGCGTCTGCAAGCCATTGGTATGCTTGAAGCAGGATCGAGTCAACGTGATGTTGCAAGACAATTTAACGTCCACAAAAACACCATTTGGTGTTTATGGCAACGTTGGCAACAGACGAATGCAGTCAGAGACCATCCTCGGAGTGGCAGGCCACGCGTAACCAATAATCGACAAGACAACTGGATTCGAACAACACATCTACGAAATCGATTCCGGCCAGCAACAGAGACTGCAAGAAGCAGCCCTGGCCTTCGACGAATATCTTCACAAACCGTACGTCGTCGCCTCAGATGGAGGAATTGTCGCCAGAAGACCCGTCAGACGTCCCATTTTGACAGGAAACCACCGTCAAGCACGTCTCCAGTGGTGCAGACAGTGTCTGCGCTGGACGGCAATGCAGTGGGGACAAGTTCTATTTACTGACGAGTCTCGTTTTCACCTTAGCCACAGCGATGTACGGATTCGAGTGTACCGACGTCGAGGTGAACGTTACGTCAATCATTGTGTCATGGAAGAAGATCGGTTTGGGGGAGGCAGCGTCATGGTATGGGGTGGGACTACAGCAATACAGGACCCGTTTGATAGTGGTAGAGGGAGATCTCAATGGATAGCGCTACCGCCACGAGATCATCGGCCCTGTTGTTCTACCGTTTTTGCGTCGTCATGACCCAGGCATTACCTTTCAACATAACAACGCCCGGCCTCATATTGCTCGACTTGTTCAGGATTCTCTTCAACAAAACAACGTGAATGTCATCTCCTGGCCGGCTCGCTCCCCTGATCTCTCACCAATCGGGCACATGTGGGATGAGATGGATCGGCGCCTTCGACGTCAAGCACGTGTTCCACAGACACTCCAGGAACTTCGAAACATGCTCCAGCAGATATGGACAGATATCCCACAGGACTTTGTGCGACGCCTGGTCCATTCCATGAGACGAAGATGTGTTGCTTGTATCGCAACCAGAGGTGGACACACACGCTAATGATATGTAAATTGACATTTTGGCATGTTCATATATTTTTTATGAAATCACGCATTTTCTGAAGTCAGTATGGCAAATTAAACCATTTGAACAGGAGTCTTTTATCTATTGCAAACCGAAATTGTTTCAGATTTGGTAAAAAACATAACTTTGCACTAAATCTTTTCAATGTCACAGGAACTTTTGTTGCTCAGTATAGATTGGCTACTGTAAGGCACCCAGGAGGTATAGGTGTAGCATATAAAAGTAAATATAGAGATCATATATCCGTATAGCTCGGCAGATATGTAACAATATAAGGCCAAGATGTTCACTTCTGGAAGAAAGGGTTGAAAATTTGTACATAGGGGTTTTAGAGTATGCAGAATCCGATTTTAATGGGATCCACGCTGGCAAACCAATGGTTCCCACTCAAAATGGAGAAATCCGAGATGGCCGCCATCCGTATTACAAATTTCGACATATGGCCGTAACTTTGGATTTATTTGACATAGAAACATGATCTTGGTGGCAAATTATAGGTTTTCGGGGCCAAGGAATGCAATGAAATAGTTTAAAATAATGTAAAGTGCATCCAGAACAAGATCCAAGATGGCCGCCATCCGGGTAACAACTTGTGTAAACGACAAATAAGCTTTTTTGAAGGTAGAACTCCAATTAAAACTTTATAAATCTCTTTTCATTTATTTTTCGGGAAAATCATATCCATAGTACACCTGGTGAATGCATGCATAAGCATTAATTTCATGATGTGCTGAATTTGCAGAATTTGACAACATGCATCCTGATCAGCATTCAGCTGAAACTTTTGATATAGATTTCTGATAAATACGTCTCCAGTCAACTCAGATGAGCTGCAGCTCTCATGGGCAAAGGCAGTTGAGAAGCTGTTGGAGAAACTTGAATTAAAATCAGAAGATATCATCTCTTGGTCTGCACATTTTGCAGCTTCACAAGATTCCTGCCTCAGACCACCGGCGATATCTGGGCTCATGCCATTATTCCGTGATAATGCACATTCTTTGGCGATGGTAAAGCATGGCATGGATGTAATCGCTAAAGCTACCGAATATGTGCATCCTGGACAAGTCCCAATATTGACTGTTGATCAGCCACTGTATGCCATCGCCAAGAAGATCCAGTGGACCTTGCCAGCTGCCTATGGCGAAGACAAGTATGTGGTGATGATGGGTGGATTGCATATAGAGATGGGGTTCCTGAAAGTTCTAGGAGATTGGCTAGATGGCAGTGGATGGTTGGTTGTACTGACGACTGCGAACGTTACCACCGATTGTAGGGCTGATGCTCTTAGAAAGGGATCATTCACGGCACGTTCTCAGTGGGCTCATCAAGTAACAGCTGCTGCACTGTTTGTTTACGTAGCCAAGCCTACAGTTCATACAAAGCAGAAGCAGAGGCAGACGCGAAGCCTGTGATGCCATTCGAAAACTGGTGCACACACATGGAGACGCATCATCCGCAGTTTCGGTACTGGAACAAAACCTTCAAACTTGAGGTCTCTTCCTAGTGGTTGTCTGTTCACGTGCGAGATCTGATGCAGTTACAGCCTGAATGTCCAGCAGTGTGCAGTGAGTTAAAAAAAGGACACTTTGTAACACAGAAAACAACTCATCGCTTCTCCATGATGGCTCATGACCATGTACACGAGCAGCTCAATGCTGTGTTGAAAGGGGATGGTGGAATAATGGGCATCACTGAAAATGAAGCAGCCCTCAGGCGGTGGATGATTGCAGGTCCCGAGATGGCCAGGATCATACATGAGGTTGATGTGAGCACATCCCAGAAGACAACCCACAATGATCGACACCATGAGTAAACTCTGACCACACAAAAGAAATTTGCAACAAATGTCCAAACCGTGATAGATGTGCTACATGAATTGGGTAATCCCTTCACAGAAACGAGCGCTGATCTCCTCACACTGGACACGAAGGTCATCATGTCTGATCAAGTCGTCCATAACTTCTCAGAAGCCGAGGAAATAGGTAGGACTGCGAGTTGTGAAGATGGAGAAGCCTTTCAATGACACTATTCCGAAAAATAACCTCCAGTTGTTCAAGTCAGGAGAACGGAAAGTCTCCTCAAAGACAAAGTCCAAAATGTCCACGAAATGGTGAAATGGATGTGTTCTTCCAGCATGAAAACCACTCTTGGCCACCGTCTCTGGCTGAAAACAACATGATACGTCTCGGAGAAAAATCTGACTTGCTAAAGTATCTGGAACCACTAGCACCACGTCCACAGACCACTCCTACTGTGGACGTGAAGATCTTTGATGGTGCTGCCCTCGTCCACACGTTGGATGCGAAGACTGCCACAACAAATGTGAAAACGTTCAAAGACTATGCAGAGTATGTCTTTGTCCCGTATCTGAAGACGCAGCTTGTACATGATGCACAGGTAGATATCGATGTTGTATGGGATACCTACATGGCTGACAGTCTGAAAGAGCACACAAGAGAGGGCCGAGGAACAGGAGAAGCTATTTGTGTGTCTGAGAAAACACGACTTCCACACAACTGGAAAAGTTTCTTGCGAGTCGACAGCAACACGACAGAACTCTTCAAGTTTCTAGCCACAGTTATTGAATCTGAAGCAACAGCAACAGGGAACATACTGATCACAACCAAGGGTCAGAGTGTAACCTCATCCACACCACTAGATACTTCTGACCTACAGCCATGCCCACACGAAGAGTCAGACTACCGAATGATGCTCGATTGTCTCCATGCGTACAAACATGGCATGAAGAAGATAATGGTATATGCCTCTGACACGGACGTACTGGTTCTTGCAATTGTGACTGCAATCGACATTGAAGATTGTGAACTTTGGTTAGCTTTCGGACATGGTGCCCATTTCTGTTACATTGGAGCTCATATTGTTGTCATCGAGATGGGCAATGATTACTGCAGAGGCTTGCCATTCGTGCATGCATTGTCAGGCTGTGACACGATGTCGTCATTCTGCTCCATCGGTAAGAAGACAGCCTGGAAAGTATGGAAGTCACATCCTCAAATCAACGACGTATTTCATCGGTTGTCAGATACGCCAGATGAGGTGACAGACGCTGACATGAAAGAACTCGAGAGATATGTGGTCCTGCTCTACTCTCGCACATCACAGCTCACTGAAATGAGGGGGCACGGATTGCCCAGTTGTCTAAGGCGCCGCGATTCGCTGTTCAGAGTTGCGTCCCTTGGGCAAGCCAGAAACCTATGATTGTGGGTTCGAATCCCGTTTCGCCCCGATTATGTTTCTAGGTTTGTTATCACCATACCCGTGCTCGTGGGTTTCACCGAAGTGGTAAACGTCTGAGACCTGCATCACTTCGGGCTTTCCTCCCACATTAAGCTGACACGCCGTGATATAACTGGAATATTGTTAAAAGCGGCGTTAAAACCCAACTCACTCACTCACACTTGTTATCGCCGTTTTTAGGAAAATTACAAATTGCCAACCTATACTTTCTTTTGCCGCTTAGTTTATCTCAAAAACAAAAATAATAATCTTTGGAGGGGGTCCAGC